ATTGGACCAGGCTTCGTATTTGTGGGCCCCACCTCTTCATTTATTTTTCCCTTTTCTTTTTAACACATTTCGCTGTTTCTCTCAGTGGCTCTTTTTACCGTGTCTCCACGCTCCAATCCTCGCCGTTAGATGCTTGTTCGTGTATTCCACGCGCCATTGTCGCGTCTCGATTACTGGAATTCGTTACTCATTAATTTTGAACCCCACTAAGCCGAAGAATCTTCCACTTTGCAAACGGGCCGTAGGACGTTGACGTTAAATGGTAAACGACGGCGTTTTTTAATTTGAAAACAAAATGGTTCACATTTTTTGTTTTTTCTTTTTTCAAGAGTCGTGGATATTTCAAGTAAAACAAAAAAGTTTAAATCTCTTTTTCACAATTTGTTTTTCAAAAGTTGTTGAATGTAAAATAAAGAAACTAAAAAGAATGGTTTCACCTGTATTGGAGGTTGGTGCCTTTATTGAATAATTTTATTATTTTTCAAATATATTTTTTAATTTTATTTATTTCATTTTAATATCTAAATCAAAAAACAAAAAAAATGATAAATTGATTTTAACTATATACATCCCTACTAATAATTAACATGTGTATGTATAATTTATGTATGGTTGGTTATATAAGTATTAGGTGAGAAGGTGTTATTGATGGTAAAATAATAGCAACACTATTTGAGAAATTTACATTAATATAAAATAAACATGTATATTAGAATATAGTAAAAAGTTTGAAATAAAAAAATGCATACCATCAAATATAAAAGTTAAAGTTAAGAAATGTCGCATTTATCTTTTATAATATGAAGTATATATTGACTTTTCTAAAATTCATCTCTCAAAATGAATGTAATTATGTTTTGAAAGTTAATATATAACTCTTGATTTTTTTTTTTCTAGTTAAGCAAATGACACGATGGAAGATTTGAATTTCAAATTATAATAACTATTGATCATTCAAGTTACATGAGACTCTCTAGTTATTTTAAAAGTTGATAATTTAAAATAGATATTTTATTTTAAATTGTTATGAATATAGTTAAACTGGTTAATAACAAGACACTCTTTATCACTTTAAAATAAAAATATTAGAAATTTTTAATTTCCAAACCAATAAACAAATAAAAACATTAGATGACAAAAATGGTAGTCAAGTTTTAAAAAATATATATATATTTGTATTTTTTTAAAATGCCACAAACTTGATTTTTTATTGTTTTTTTCTGTTTGAATTCAAATCAAATTATACTACTTGTGTAAAAATTTAAATGTATTATTATATTTTAAAATAAATAGTTTGAATATCTCATTTATATAATTACTTAGAAATAATAGATTTTATTGAAAGCTACAGAATTAAAATGGAACAAGATTAAAATTTGAGAAGTAAAATGGAATTTAAAATTGTTTTTAAAAAAGACACTTTTTGTTTGAGCCAAAATGAAAATGTTGTGCGGTGGAAAGATGCATTACGCATATATTCCCGTTGGTGCTCTTTGGGGAATTTGGGGACCACACCGCCAAATTAGCTGTCACTCAACTAATCGCCAGCTTGCCTGCCCTCTGCCCGAACACCTGCCCGACTTTCTCTCTCTCCTCCCCCGTCTCTCTCTCTCTATATATATCTCCTCCAAACCCTTTTCAATGCTCAATTCCAACGAACGGTCTTCGCTCAGTCTCTCATCTTTCTCTTCTCTCGTAACCCTAACCAGAAATCTCCGAATCATCAATGGCCGCCGTTTCCAAGGCTTCTCTCATTGCTCTCATCGCCCTCATCTTCGCCGTCGCTTCCTGCGCCGCTCAGGAGGCTCCGGCGCCGAGCCCTGCTTCCCCTGCTTTCTCCATTGCTCCTTCCGTTGTCTCCGCTTGTCTCGCCGCCTTCGTCGCTCTCGCCTTCGGATCTACTCTCAGGATCTGAGGTACCGACTGACGGATATGGTGTTTGATTCTGCCATTAATGTATTTGATGTGTTTTCGTTCTTGGAGTAACCCTGGGGGATTTATATTTTAGGTGTTTCATGGGATTTTAGTTTCTACACGTTTATCGTTTGGTACAGAGAACCTCTTTTGTTCACACATTCTTATATATAGAAGCAGGTTGTGATGGTTTGTTGACGATTGTGCTATATATATTTTATATATATTCTGTTCTTATGATCAGTAAATCAATTGTTTCGTTCTTTTAAATCTCTCTCTCTCTCAGCTCTGGTTCTTGTTTGACTCTTCTCTTTCTATTCCTAATCGCCGCCGGCAACGGCATTGATCCGATTTTCCAAACGTCAATCTGGAAAAATATCCTCGTGATTATCCACGATCGTCCACTTTCTTACCGTTCTTATTTATGCTTAAGATTGTGTACACAGAGCTTACTTATTTTAGCTGTTTTCCGAATTCGTGAGGGTAATAGAACATCGGATGAAAAGATTTAACTATAAGAGAAATTACTACCAGAATTGGCGATTGTTCAACTCGAACTTCAAAGATTTTTAGCCATTTATTTATGATTTTTGGACCAACACAAGTCTAATTGTCTTACCTGGTCTCGCTGTAGTCAAATCGGTGGGGCAGGCATCCATGTGCCATGAATAATGAGCGTGAAAGGTGCCAAAATTTTGTGGTTGCCATTACAGCGAAAGCATTAATGCCGAGAACATGCTCTCTCTTTTTGCTTTTTTCTTCCTTCCAGAGCATATAGAGTATAGACAATTGAGTAAACAAATCAAATGGCATATTGGTTGTGAATTGTGATTGTGTCCACTAGAAAGAGTCTCCTCTTAAAGTAATCTTTGTTATTTTTAACTCAAAAGGTTAAAATTTGCTTTAATTTTATATCAAATTTGGATGATAAAAAATCACACTGCAACTTACCTTGTACATATAAAATGGACAGTTCACATATGTTAAATAACATGAAATTCAGTAAGATATTATTTTAACTAAAATATTAAAAACTGATTAGATTTTCTTTTTTTTTTTTATAATAGATTCAAACCTTTTACTAGTCTAACAAGATTATTGTTTGAAAGAATATATATATTTTTTTTCAAAAAACGAGATGGATGTTAAATTTTTTTTGTAACTTATTCAATTTTTCAGAAAAATATTACTGCTTTAACCAGTTTAGATTCACAGTAAAAAAAAAAAAAAAAACTAGTTTAGATTCTTTTGTTGGATGAGAAATTGCGGCTAATTCCATACATTTAGGGACCAATGATAAAATTACACGTGTCCGAATCTAATTATGTCACGTGTCTCTTTTATGATCGTCCAATAAAATTAACTAATTGACCATTAAGCTCATCAAAGACTCTATAAATAAAGGGTCACCCCTCATTTGAAACAAGGGAAGAAAGGACGAAGGACGAAGCATCCCAAGCCAAAAGCAAAGAACTTCACAAGCCACAAAGCTAAAGAACTTCACAAGTTGCAAAGTCGAAGACTTCAAAGATTCTTCAATAAACTCAAAGCCGAAGACCTCACAAAGTCTTCATCAAACTACAAGCCAATGAGCTTTATTAACAAGTCAAAGTCTTCAACGAGCTAAAAGTTGAAGACCTCAAAGATCCTTCGACAAGCAAAAAGCGAAAGACATCAACCATTGATTCAAGAACAAGCTCACGAACCCTTGAATTAAGGTATATATTTGAGAAAATTAATCAATGGATTATACATTAGAGATTATACCACCCATATACATAAATACAAATACAAGTTAATTAATTCGAGTTTTCACTTCGTTGAATTTCTCGTCGAACATCTTTTATCAAAAAAAACAAAAACAAAAACAAGAGAGACTAATTTAGATATCAAGTAATTTTATGGACTAAAATTTTGAATCTCTATCATATTCCTTATTTGAATGAAAAACAATAACAATATTTAAAAAAGTATGCAATTAAATTAAAGTAGTACAAAACTAAAAATTTAATATAACATATTCTAAAAATATAAAAATAATTTGACCTTGAGTCAAACTTTTCTCCTCATAGAATTCATTATTGCGTATATCTATATTTATTTAACTCGGGCAAACAAATGGACAAAAATCTGAAATAAGATATTGTACTTTTCTCCTCTTAACATTAAGACATTCAAATTTGTACTCGGGAATTTTAGCACTTTTTTGTCCTTAAAATTTGAATTTGATTTATATTTGATATCTAGTCCATAAAATTTAAATTTGATTATTGTCTTTGAATTGATTTGAACAGAACAGGAAGATAATGTGACAGATCATGCTAAGAAAAATTTTGGATCCAAGAAATGAGGGATTTTTTATTGGGGACAAAACCACAAACTTTAAACTTGGATATTGGGTGGTGCAATCCTCTTACCATTGTGCCAACACCCGAGAGTGCTTAAACTCCTTTACGTTGATTTAAAACCTTGTGACTTTTCTTTGGTTTTTTCAAAAAATTGTGGGGAAAGAGAGGCTGCAGAGTGCACAGAAAGTGTACAATCTCTGCTAAATGCGGTGCCATTTGCCAATCAAACCCATAAGTTTAATATTTGAAATTCAGTTGCCTTAAATGTTAATTTAACCCATTTGCTACAATAGAACGAGCCAAGAAAGATCTACAACTACAAAAAGTTCTATATATATATATATAGATATTGGTATTTAATAATCCACATAAACTTCCTCCTCTTCTCCACAAATCATATTACAAAACCACTCGATTTCTTTTCTTTTTTTAAGCAGCCACTGCCCTCCCTCTCTCACTCTGAATCTGACTCCATGTTCACTATTGCCTTTAGCCCTCTTGGTCTCTGCATCCCAAATTAAAATTAAAATTTTCAAATTACCAAATATATATATATATATATTATCTTTTAATAAAACAAAGAGAAAAAAAAAGGGGATATTATTTAATTTATACCTTTTTAGAAATCTTCTTCTCCTTCTCCCTAACTTCGTATCTCTCTAGTGTTAGATCGCACAGCCACGTCCCTGGAC